TTATTTTCGTATTCGTTCATTCTCTTCGCTTGGATTGGTTTATTCATTGTAAGTCCGATACTTTATAATACGATCATGCAAATGATCGCCGAGGGAAAGAGAGAAAAAACGCCGATTGAAGGATCGCGTGCCCATCAAATCGTGCGTGTGAAATGCTTGTACCTATATTGTTTTCTCTTCGCGAACTGTTGTCAATACTTTTACAATACTTTTACAATAACTTTCCCTGAAACCGTAACGGTATTTCAGTATCGCAAGAATAAAACGCGAGAAGGTAAACCCTGACCCACTTAAGATCTCTACCTGAACGGCAGATGACAGGTTTCTTCTTAAGTTCCTGTTCGTGAAGAAATTCGTACGGAGAAAGAAGAGGCGCGTTTACATTTAAACAATGAAACGATCTGAAACTGTTTTTCAAGTGCATACTTAATAATATTAAAACAATGCGCGTAAAAACAGGCGACACGATTTGAATATCTTGCCGCTTTAATAAAATAAACGAAATTTTTCTTTGACATAAATATAAACTTCAAACTGAAACTTATATACAATTAATTCATCTCATTTGCGTAAAAAATACTCAAATATTAATGACATGAAAATATGAAATTTAATAAATATTCAAATATTTAATATTAATGAATATGTATTATAATATCAACGTATTTATATTTGATGTAGGTAAATAATATCTTAAAAATATTTAAATACATATATCGTAATTTCTGAATATTAGAAATATCTTTGATATTTCTGCGAATTTTATTTTATTGTTTATAATGTGTGAAAAATTAAATTAATGTGGGTAATTAATAAATACTCGTATATATATTTTTGTATCGAATAATGTGAGTCTTAATTGGACTATCACTTTTTCACTTTCGCCGCAATATATACTTTTAGATGGCATAACGTTTCGAAAGGAAAAATACGTAACAACTGAGCGTAGCTTTCGTATCTCAAGATTCTAAAAATTCTACAATCAGATTATATATTTTAATATTAATTGAGTTTTTAAAGCCAGTATTTAAATCAGGTCTGCAAATTTCTTTTTAAATCTTGTTATACAGTCTAAAATCAAATTTTGGACATTAAAAAATATAAAAGATGTTTTTTTCAATAATGTTTTCTTATAGACAATAATAATGCTACGAGAAATACATGACTAATGTAAATGTAATATCCTTTGTGAAAAAAAATTCATTGATATTTAAGTAGATCAGATTGAAATGAAAAAAATCGAGCAATAAACGAGTAACACGTTCTTAGGATTTTTTGCTTATTAAAAAAAAACATAATCGTGATTTGCAATTTATATGCGTTCAACGAGCGTGTGAAAATGTCAATTGATCGAGGAAAATGAAGCGCCGAAGGCGTGACTCGCTAAACGGAGCCGCGTCGACTGTTTCTCGTGAAGCCCGTGACACGTTTGATCGGCTCTTTCTTGTGTCGCTAAAAGTGAAACCTCGCGACGAAAGTAGGCAAACCGGGAGGAAACCGGAAAGCAGACGTTGTTTAGTGAGAATGCTCCTGGCCGGGCCATCGACATGAACTTTGGCGTCGGTGTGTCCCATTTCTTCCGACATACGTGGACCGGATAGCTTCGAGCCGAACAGCGTGTTCTCGAAACTTTAACCGACTTTAATCTTAACGGTAAACTTTTAACGGTAAACAAATCCGAAATCGATATTTGCTCGGGGAAAGTTACGAAGCTACGTGCCGTAATCTGGGTACGCGCTCTTCGTCAAACATTTAAAAAAGTACCTTCCTCGCGATAAAGGAGCTCTCAAATTAGGATCCCGCGAAATTAAAATCGGGCAGACATTGTCATTACAATAAACGGTGGACAATTTCGAGATATCGCCGTGTATAAGCATTTCGTTCCCACAGTCGTGATGCAATTGGAAGGGGATCCGTTCGAATAACTCGCATCTCACCCGAATGATTTAGCACGATTATCTGCAGCGCAATGTAACGTAGAAAGCTGCATGAGGGAGAAAGTTGTAATGCATAGGAAGTTACATATACAGGCGGCACACGTACGAAGCCGTTCGATATGAGATACAGAGTGCGATGTAATCAGATCAAAAATTAAACATCTTACGCGCCTAGTCTAACGTAATTGATTATGTAAAGTAATAATGTAAGGTGTATTATTAAATACGTGTTATGACGCAAAAACGGCGATATAGATAATAATTATGTAACGCAACAAGGAGCATTGATTACGTTCGAATTATAAAATACAAATTTGTAATTCAAATTGTAACAATTAATTTCAAAGGAAAACAAGAAGTGAACGTACACGCGAACGGAATAAGATGCGTATCAACGACGTGTATATCCCTTATTTTCTTTAATGTACTTTTCATGTTGTGATGAAATTGCGTTGGAAACAATTTCATACACGCGGCAGACAACTTGTGTCAGGAACGAAAAGAATCTTGTTCTTGCCGTAAAAAAAGAATGAAGGTCATCCTCTTTGATCACAAGGTAAAACTATCTTGTAGTTTTAAAGCTTGATACAATAATCTACATGTCTACTAGTCTACTATAGTGTTTTAATATAGTGTTTGTACATTACAATTTAAATACTGACAATTTGTCAAAATTAATAATTTGGCCCCACAAATATAAAACTCATATACGTAATTTAATTGTCGATTAATAATATTGTAAACTATTATTTTCACGGAAATAATTAAGATAATTAGAATTATTTATCAATAAGCAATATTATTATATTTTTGCAATTATCAAATAAATCACACGTTAAATCACTCCATAAAAATTGTGTAAGTTTTAAATTGTACAAATCTCTTAATAATTCTTAAAAATTCTAAATAAGAATTTCCAAAAAGAATTACGATTCATTTTATTTACGAATATATTTACTTGTTATTACTGCAGTGTCTCTCTAAACTATATCTATAAGACTAATGAATTTTTATTTATTTATAACAGATATGTAAGTAATTTCACAATGTAAGAAGAAAAGCAAGAATGAATAACAATCAGCCTATGATTAATAAATAATATAAATAATATAAAAATATAAGTAAAAATAAAAATAAACAAATTTACTTGCTTATAAATACATACATGTATTATTTATAATACAAACAGTATATATATATATATATATATATATATATTCCTTAATTAGTTCTCGCTAATTATCTATAGTGATAAAAATCGTCGGCAGCACGCAAACGACGTCGACAT